TGACCTAGGTACTCATGTGACTTCATCGGCACAGGTAAAATTGAAAAGAAAATCTGTAACGTAGAAGTCTAATGCTTTCCTTAATTGTCAGTACCCTCTCGTGTGGATCACATATTTTCATTAAATAGTTTGTCCGATATTTAATAAGGAAAATGATTTAGGCACAAATCGTAACATTATTTGCACACCTAAATTATTTTAGGTTACTTTATTGTGGATTGAAAAGGACTTTTAAAAAACCCATATAACTTAATTTGAGTTTGCTTATTAACATCAACTTCCAATCAGAGCATAATTTAGTTCATGGTCAAAACTTTGAGAGGAGCTAGATTATAAAAAGTAAAAATTACCTCTCACTGAATCTGTGTTTTTTATTTGCATATGTGTAAAGTTTAAGCTGTTCAAGTCCACTCATGACTGTTGATTTAAAAACACTAACTGTGATTAAATGAATACTTTAAATATCCCTGAATAAGCTAACTTACAATAGTGAATTATACTTGTTTCCAGCTAAAGTGTGGGGCATAATGATCTTACAACGGTAAATTATGCATGTTTCCAGTTAAAGTGTGGTGCATAGTAATCAGAGATGTCCTCTATATGACCACATCTTACAACGGTAAATTATGCATGTTTCCAGTTAAAGTGTGGTACATAGTAATCAGAGATGTCCTCTATATGACCACATCTTACAATGGTAAATTATGCGTGTTTCCAGTTAAAGTGTGGTGCATAGTAATCACAGATGTCTCTATATGACCACATCTTACAACGGTAAATTATGCATGTTTCCAGTTAAAGTGTGGTGCATAGTAATCAGAGATGTCCTCTATATGACCACATCTTACAACGGTAAATTATGCATGTTTCCAGTTAAAGTGTGGTGCATAGTAATCACAGATGTCCTCTATATGACCACATATTTAGGCAACAAGATATATGCATCATTATGTTATTTTTAAGGAAATAGTTGATGGCTGAGTTTGTGCTGTTTCAGATAAAGTTCTTGTGTTTGGCTGCGAGTGGAACTACAGACCAGATCATTGCATGTATACCAGTGTGTGTAAGAGTGCAGAAAGAACAGGTGTTGCTGCCATCCATGGGAGCCGGGGGGCATTTTTCGAGACGAAACAACCAACTTTCAAAGCAGTGTTTGATATTATGTCTTCGGTAAGGGTTTGTTCTCTTCAATTATAATAATACTCAATTTTTGTCTATCCCGAAAGAGCACGTGCACCTTTATTATCTAAATGTGCATATACGTGCACTTGATGTCATCCAGTGTAAACAAAAGGTGGATGTAAATATACTTTAGTAGACATTTTGTACAACAACATATTAAAAGCTCATCAAAATTTTTAAAAAAAGATGTAACATTAGGTTATAGAATAACATAATAAGGTTATTTATTGATAATATTAAGTGCAGTAAAGTTTAGCCCTAACTAAACTAAAGCAAAAAATGTACACAATTTACAGTGTTGATTTATTTCTTTATCGAATATAGGCCATACTTAATGAAGGCTTAACTAATGTTAGGCCTAAGACTAGTGTACTTATAGATTTCGGGGATTGTGATCAGAATACATTTTTATTACTCTACAAATCTTGTATTTAAAGAAGTACTGTTGCAATAAAGATAGTAGTTTGTTTTTCATGCACTTTAGAAAAAAAAATCATACGAAAAAATCTAGTTTTCAACAAAAAGTTTAAAATAAAGTGACATGGTTTCCATTATGCATTTTCTGAACAATATTTTGATGGCGACTATACACATGTTAATATTGGCTGATTGTTTCTTGAAGTTCTGCTTTTGTTCAATGAAATATTACCATAATAATATCTCACAATTTTTAATATATGTAAGTAATATATTCTGTAGAAAAAAATAATTATGCTTTCCACTCTGCCAACAGAAAAACTCCAACACTAAAACAAATAATAGAAAACAATTGAGAATAAATAGTCCTAAGTTTCATGTGTGAGATAATGCATAACCTGAATTAAAATATTTATTTTTCAACATTATTCTGTTTATAGATTATTGCGGTTAGTCATACATTATAAGAATGATGATTCAGGTCCGTTAATGCATTTTTACCCAATTTCTGTATCATTGGCTGTGCTTAGTCTAATGGCTATGATTAGTAAGCTGTATTGTCCAATACTATAGTTTCCATTGTAACAAACTTTTTGAAAGATTGCGAGGTTTATTTTATGTCGCACATCTTGACAAACTTTCTATAGGCCATCTACTGTATATGGATATTAGCTTCCAAAATCACACTTAAGTGCACCAAAGGTACAAAAATCTACTGGAGCTGCATTGGGAGATTTAATTTCTTCAGCCATATTTCTCATGTAAACAACCATTGATTATTTTAAAGTTTGGTTGTAAACTTTTGGTTTGTGAGCCTTTTTTATCTTCAAATCCTTTTTATCAACTTGTTCATGTTCCCAGTAAATGTGTCCACATTCATGCAAAGGCTTTTTGTATTGGATAAATCCTCTTTAATGCCTGGAGACGGCTTGAATGGGTAATGAAGAAAAACTTTAATATAAGTTTATCATAACAGCAAATGTACAACATTTTCAACAAGGTTTTGTCATCATCAGGTAAATTGTACATTTGCTGTTATGATAAACTTATATTAAAGTTTTTCTTCATTACCCATTCAAGCCATCTCCAGCCATTATTATTCTCAAAGTGGG